ACTAACAGCAAATTCATCAAGCAACAAGCCACTTACAAAATTACGAAAAAGGCTCCAAGAAAAACGATGGCACCAGGAAAAGTGACAATACCAGGAAAAACAACAACACCAGGAAAAGTGAAAATACCAGGAAAAGAGATCAGAATCAATGGCATCAGAAAAAGTGACGACATCAGGAAAAGCGATGATACCAGGAAAAATGACAACACCAGGAAAAACGATGACACCAGGAAAAGTGATGATACCAGAAAGAGAACAGAATCAATACCACCAGAAAAAGCAATGATACCAGGAAAAGAGATCAGAATCAATACCACCAGAAAAGCGACGATACCAAGAAAAACTACGGCACCAGGAAAAGCGATGATACCAAGAAAAGTGATGATACCAAAAAAAGAGATCAGAATCAATGCCACCAGAAATAGCGATAATACCAAGAAAAATGATAGTACCAGGAAAAGCGATGACACCAGGAAAAGCAATGATACCAGAAAAAGCGATGATACTAGAAAAAGCAACAATACCAGAAAAAGTGATGATATCAGAAAAAGAGATCAGAATCAATGCCACTAGAAAAAGTGACAACACCAGAAAAAGTGATGATACCAGGAAAAATGATGGCACTAGGAAAAACGATGATACCAGGAAAAGTGATGAAACAGGAAAAGCGACAATACCAGAAAAGTGACAGCACCACGAAAGCGACGATGCTCTTAACTAAAAAAAAAAAGTTAAACATGTGCGAACCGGAAAAAAAAAAGATCATCAATTTATATTAATATTCTGATTTAGCTAAACGTGTAAAAGTGAAAAAGCACAGGTTGTTACTAAGACCTGTGCAATAAATAAAATTTTTGCTTGCAATAAAAGATTAGTTACCCGCAAAAGTTATCACTAATAATTGATTAATTATAAGAATTAATTAATATTGATTGCTTTCTAATCGATTGTAACTATCAATCAATTATAATCGATTATATTTTAATCAATTGCAAACATCTAATCAATAATAATCAATTATTGTTAAATCGATTACAATCTTTATATATCGATTAACAATCAAACATCAATTATTATTGATTTTTTTAATCAATAACAATCACCTCTGCAAATGGTAATCGATATCCACCCTATTTAAAAATTTCCTGATGTTTAGTCTTTACTGCTTATACTGACCACTAATCTTAAATCTTTAACTATACATATTAATGTAATTTTTTAGTTATAATTTCCTTTTTGGTTTGTGTTACAGATATAAATAAGTAAATCTGTGTAGCTTGTATAGCTGGTGTGGCTTGATGTAACTAAGTATAATAGTATAACTTATATATTGATAAAATAAAGTTTGTATAAATTTACTAAAACTAAAATAGTAAAATTAAATTTTGTATAAAAATAAATGAAACAAATAATGGAGTTGTGTAAATTAATTAGTAATATTGATTAGTAACATAAATTGCAAATCTTGGATATTTTAGAAAAACAGAAATCTCTAAAAAATAAAAAAAAATTTTGTAAAAACTAGATAAAATTTTTATAACAAAGTTTAGGAATATTTTGATTGTAGTTTTGTTAATTTTAGTCTATTTTTTATATATTACAGTCAGATCTCTCTAAATACAACCTCCCTAAATACATATATATAAAAAATCTCCTAAATATATGTCTTTTCTTGAGCCTAACTAATATAACACTTATAGATTTTTACCTCCCTAAATGCATAACCTCTTTAAATACATATTTTTTCAATTTTTACTATGGTCCTGATGCTATGCATTTAGAGAGGTTTGACTGTATATATCAAAATAAAGCTATTAACAAGTTGGATCTTTTTGTATTATAGAGCATTAGATATTAACTTAATAGAATTTTGAGTTTTGGTTAATAGAAATAAAATATAAAAAAAAGTTATAATTTTATAAAAAAAGAGCTTTAGAAGTTTAAAACAGAGCTGCTATATGTAAAATTTACTATAAAACAGTTAATTTAGATAGCCAAAATAGGTTTACTTAGTAGAATTTAGAGAATAGAGTGATTATTTTTAGCAAAATTTTGTATAAGTGATCATTAGAAAAAGTTGGTGATTTGTATCTTCTAAGTAGTTTATATTTAGAGTATAGCTATTTATACTATAATTTTTGCTATTTGCATTATTAGTTTGACCAGAATTAGTTAGAGTTAGAGTATAATTCTAGTTAATTTAATGGTGCAAATAGCAATTCCCAATATTTATCTTATCTAAAATTTTTAATTTACTAAGAATTTAAATCTTAAGAGTCTATAATAGTTGTCTAGAACCACTATTCTATATAATATATTACCAATTTAAAAAATATTCTCTAACAAAATTTTGAAAAACAAAATAGTATAAGAGGAAATATAAAAAAGAAATATTTTCAAACAAAATAGAAAAAGAAAATAGCTAAACTACTAAAAGAAATCTAAAATATAAATATAAAACTAAAGAATTTATCTAATAAATTAATATCTGTTAATCAGAATACTTATCTATATAATTGTAGTAATCAGATAGAATATAAAAAACTAAACTAATTACACTTTGGTTTGTATATTAATATAAAAATTATATGTATATAACTTTTATTATTAGACTATATACAGTCGTCCCTCATTTATATCAACCTATTTGGATCACTTTTATATTCATGTTGATAGTGATATTAATGAGGAAACATATTAAAGTTGATATATATGAGGGAATTTTAATATAATTTGATATATAGAAATTCATTTTATAGCTTAGATTGATATTAACGGAGTTGATATTAATGAGAGACGACTGTATCTCAAATTCTCTTTATTATTCTAAATTTAAATCTATATTATCTGGTATTTACTATTAAATGCATTTTGCATTTATCAACTGTTATACAGCATTTTATGATATTTGCAATTTACTATATATTATAAATAGGGGCCAGTAATTGTACCCCCTAATTGGCATTCATATCCCAACAGAAGTTAAAAAATTTTAAAACTTTGAGCGATGATATCTCAATAACCACCTAACTAAATTCGATAAAAAATTTTTTATTTGATTTCTAGAGATCAGTAGAATTCAAATAAAAAAAAATTCATCGAATTTGGTTGGATGGTTGTTGAGATATCTTCATTCAAATTTTAAAAAAATTTCAAAACATCAATCAAAACAAAGCTGGCCAAAATTTTTCTAAAACTTTGAGTGATGATATCTCGATAACCACCTGACTAAATTCAATGAAATTTTTTTTATTTGAATTCTAGCGATCTGTAGAATTCAAATAAAAAATATTTCATTGAATTAGTCAGGTGGTTGTCAAAATATCTTCATTCAGAGTTTTAGAAAAAAATCACAACATCTATCAAAGCTGCACCAAAATTTTCTAAATTGTGAGCGAAGATATCTCGATAACCACCTGACCAAATTCGATGAATTTTTTTTTATTTGAATTCTACAGATATCTAGAATTCAAATAAAAAAAAATTCATTGAATTTTGTTAGGTGGTTGTTGAGATATCTTTGCTCAAAGATTTAGAAAAATTTTGGCGCAGCTTTGTTTTGATAGATGTTTTGATTTTTTTCTAAAACTTTGAATGAAGATATTTTGACAACCATCCAACCAAACTTGATGAATTTTTTTTATTTGAATTCTACAGATCTCTAGAATTCAAATAAAAAAATTTTCATTGAGTTTAGTCAGGTAGTTATCGAGATATCATTGCTCAAAGTTTTAGAAAATTTTAGCATAGCTTTGTTTAATCGACGTTTTAATTTTTTTTAAACTTTGAATGAAGATATCTTGACAATCACCTGACTAAATTCAATGAATTTTTTTTTATTTGAATTCTGAAAATCTCTAGAATTTAAATAAAAAAAAATATCAAATTTGGTCAGGTAGTTGTCGAGATAACTTCGTTTAAAGTTTTTAAATTTTTTAATTTTTGTGAGAGTATGAATACCAAATTTGGGGTACAGTTACCAGCCCCTATAAATAATATCAATTTAATATATATATTATACATTGTAAATAATATAAATTTTATATATACTAAATTAATTATTATAGTTGCTTATTATAACAAGATTTGTTTTAATTGTATAGCTACACAAAAATATTTTTAGAAAAGAATTTTTTAATTGTCTAGTTTGCAAAGTATTATTTTAGAAGTTTTTTTTAATTGTCTGAATGTGATAAGTATTATTTGGGCAACAATTTTTTAAATTGTCTAGTAAATAGATTGTGCAAAGAACTTATTTTGGTAAAATTTTTTTTAAATCATATGATAGCATAAAAGACCTTTGGGTAAGAATTTTTTTAAACTATTTAATTGCACAAATTTTGTCTAGTAATACAAAAGCTAGCCTTAATATGTTTTTTTAATAAACTACTTGATACACAAATATTATAAATTCTTTAAATAAAGCAATTAATAGCTTTAAATAAATTTATTGTTATTATGTTTACATATCTAATTATAATTAAATATACAATTATTATAGTAATTATAAACAATTGTAACTTTTTTTTATAAAGAAGTAATTATTTGTTCTTATCAGAAATTAGTAACCTTTTGCAAAACTTATTTTTTAAAACTTCTTTTGCCATATGAAATATTCTATAAACTTTATATTTATTTTGCAATTTTATTTTTGTTAATTTAAGATCAATGCTTGACAAATTTAAAATTGTTTATAATTTTAAATTATTTATTACCTGTACTAAATTATTTAAATCTTCATAAATATGAATTTTATTATCTTCAAATCTAGTGCTTAAGAGTCTTTATTATTATCAGTTTCAGAATTATTGAGTTTAGAATTATTAGATTCAGAATTATTGAGTTTAGAATTATTAGATTTAGAGTTAGTATATTTAATTGAATCTTATATTAGTTTGTTAGACAGTGTATCAATAATTAGTTTATTAAAAATATTCATTAAGACTTTTCTTTTATATTTGTCTGTGAATTTAGCATAAGCATAGTATCTACTAGAAGATTTATTCTACTAATTGCATAACCAGTATTTTTAGAAACTTCAATTTTAAATAATTCTATAATACTTGTCTTTTGGCCAAAATAATTACTAATATTTCTTGATTCGATATTAATTTCACATTTGATACAAATTATTTTAAATATTGAATAGATTGTATGATCAAATATTGGTTTGTCTAAATATTATTTTTTTTTTACAATAGGTTAAATATAAATTATTTAAAAAATTAATTGTATAACTTATATAAAAATAATATAACAAATAAATAATTAGTATTATATTATTATCTAGGCTATGATAAGCAAAAAGGTAAAAACTTAAACTTTTAAAATTTTTAGGCTATAAAGAAAGATATTTTCTTATATCAGAATTTGGTCTTGCAATTATCTTTTAGATTAGACAAAAAAGTTATAATTAAGTCAAATTGATTTTCTTCTATACCTCTTTGGTTATTTTTCATTAAGCTTTTTTAATATAATACTATCAGATGTATTTACAATTTGTGATATATGCAAATTGGCATATTTATTACCTTTTGCAGTACTTAATATAGAAAAGTCTATTTTAATAATTCTAAAAGAATATTTGAATTCAGAATTTTATAATTTAATATATGTTAAATCTTTTCAATAATTAATCTATCTATAGATTTGAAGTTATCAAGTTTCTTTTTTTTATATCTTTTAGTA